GCAGAGTTAAAATGTTTAAAAATGTTTTTCACCAATTGTAAAAATCAGAAGACAGATACGAATGTATTCCTTCCTTTAATGGTTTCAATAAATTGAAAATAATGTCACAATATACTCAAATATTCTCTTAGCTATTTTTGCCATAAATGCATAACATCCGCAGTCTAGTTACAACACAGGAGCTTGAATGAAAGGTACTAAGAAAATACGAATAAACTTTTGCGTTTACCTAATTTGTTGCATTTTTACAGTTCACTTGGATAGAATGCCGAATATTCTCTCGACTTTAAACGGAAGATTTAAGGGATTTGAGCGATTCAATGAAACTGAAGGTTAAAGCACTTGACCAGAGAGAAATGGCGCATCTGGTGCGTGGGTAATATTTTCTTTTTTTTTGCCATTCGAAGCGAGAACGGTGCCATTGTAAACCGGCGCAACGTTAAACTTCTCTCGCCGGCACTTAATAGCGTGTAGAGATGATGCATCGCGCCATTTAATTTTCTTCTTGCAGCCGGTATCACGATCGAAATAATTTCTGGCCAGGTTTTTGGGGCCATTTCGCGGCGAACGAAACTTATTGCTCACCGCGAAGTGCGAGATCCGCAACTGGTGGTTGATAAAAAATGAAAGTATGCTTGATCTATGCAGAGCGAGAACTATTCTCCGTCCCGTTGAAATTTCCGACGTTCCGTCGACGTATCGAGAAGTTTGTAGGTTCGATTAGAAACCTTTTTGTATAATATTTATACGGCACGGTGTCCTCTCGGTCACCGTTCGCGCCTCTTTTCCGTGTCGCGTTTCACGAGGAGATCATGTTGTTCGGTGTCTTGACCTCTTCCGGTTCATCCGTAATACACTGAGCGAATGTAAATATTTTCTACAACGGAATGACGTTCTGTGGTGTGCAGGTCGAGAAATGGCTCGCTCGTGGCACCGGGAGTGCTCGTGGGAGTCGCCGACAGTCAGCGGTGGAACGCATTTTTGAAAGTGCAGTTTAAGACATTTATTTTCATTACGGTCAGTGGCTCTGAACTTTCTTTTTTTGCAAACTCTGCTTGAACGTTATGGGACAATTCTATTTCCTGGGGCTGGATATTTTCACGTTTTCTCTCTTGAAAGCGTGCAATGCGTTATTACACATTGCCTCTCGGATGCAATTGTATGCAATGCGTTATTCTATTTACATTTTGCCCCTTGAAAGTAATTCCGTGCAATGGATAATTTTACGTTTTGTCTCTTGAAAGTCTACAAAGCACTATTGCATTTTACATGTCGCCCGTTGAAAGTCATTGTCTGCAATGCATCATATTTGCGTAATGCATCATATTTCGTCGCTTGGAAGTGGCCGCGCGCGCGATGCGTCACTATAGTTAGTTTCTTAAAAATCACCGTCACTATATTTCGTCTCCTAAAAGTGATCGCGTGCAATGTATTATTATACTTAGTCTCTTGAAAACGACTTCGCGCAATGCGTTATATTTTATATCTTGCATCTTGAAGTAATTTGGGCGCGTTGCACCATTATTCTGTCCCTTGAAATCGATCGTCATTATACAATTAAAAAAGTTCACGCGAAAATGTCTGTCGATATTAGTTTTTTACATCGACAACGTACCTGCGCGATACTTTTTAATTTTCATTATTTCACTATCCCGTGCTTCACGATTCTCTGTCATAGCATTCACCGCAAATAATCTGTTATTGTATCGCGAGTAGAAGCGCGCGCGTGCATGGTATTATTGCATCTCGAAGTGCCGCTCGACTTTGTCTTTTTAAACGGATTAAATTGCGCGTGTGGCCGGTGTCTTTTTAAATTCAGCTTCTCAATTTTCCGATACACCTCGATGTTGCCCGCATAAACTGATCGCGCTAAGTGCAATATTGCATCGCGTACTGAATTCCACGTGCTGGGCACCGTTCAATTTTCTATCAACGTTGTAACGCGGTTCTGTGCAGAGCACGTTGCTCGCTCTGCTACTGTTTAATTTGTCTCACTATACATACATCTATGTACGTACCGATGGCTACGGCGCACGAAATTGTTTGTGTTTAGGGTACACCGAATTACCGGGACACGGCGGTCTGTTCAGGAGCCATTGTTGCATTTTTCATCGGAACCTGTGAGCGTGTAATTTCGCACAAAGGCTTCTGGCAAAATGTCCATTACCCGTTCGTGCGTATCCGTTGCGCAAGAAAATCGAGGCTGGAAAATTTATGAACAACTACGGGCAAGATAATTCATTTATTTGGTAAATATTAGCGCGATCTATGAATCCTTGATCAACGGTAAAGTGAAGCGCTTCACTTTTGTTCGAGGCACAGTGTGCAGATAACAGAAACGTCTGTTAACGCAAAAACCGTACAAACAGATAAAAAGCAAGCCTGTTGATTTAGCTCGAGTTAGTCTTCTTTCTGTATTTTCCGATGTTCAATGACTCTGGCTGTATCTCTGCGTTTTAATCGTATCTTACTCCGAAGCGCGATACAAATATTCGATCGTACATTGGAAAACTTCTGAATAAAATCCATTCAATTTGTCTCTGTTTTCAGTTTCAGGCTTCCAAACCTAAACTAGGTGGGAGCGTCTTTCGCGTCCGACGTCTCGTATGACAGAAGCACGAGCCTTCGGCAAACCCGGCAAGAAATCTCGTACGTACCAAGCGAGACGCTCGAATTATCCAAAGGACCGGCTGTTAATTACGTTTTCCCATCAGCGGGCCCGGCCAGGAGCACCATGACCATCGAGCGCTCTTTAAAACTCGGGTATCCGAACCGATTCAAATAAGATCGACGAGGATTTACGGTGTGGCCCTTGAAAATAAAAACGGCGGGACAGTAAAACCCAGGGGATCTGACAATTCCAGTGGAAATTACTCGTCGGTCGTTACGGTCGGCGGGGGAGGGGGGCAGGGTAATACGACAGAAACCGAGGGGGAACACGCAAGGAGGCAGGATCGCGGCACGTGAATCCCGAAGCTCCCTGAGAAGCGCGAGCTAAAGCCGTCGTAAAGTACATATCTCCTTGCAGTTAGAGGCGAGCGTCGGGGATCTTTGCATGAGGAGGATCACACCGGCGTTGTACAAGCTACGCGGAGGTGGCTGCAGATAAGAGAGGCGGGGGACCAGAGGGCTGTAGACGAAGCTGGATGAGGCGGGGGGCGAGGCAGAAGCGGGAGAGGCAAAAGGAAGAGCAGGAAGATGGTGCCGGTGGAGTAGTGATGGGCGATCTTGGAAAAAAACTATCGATGTTGAAAACATCGATTGTAAAAAATATCGAATTTCTGTAATCGATATGCGACGAAAAAGACGCCGGAAGAAGCGATGCTTCTTATTGGAAGAAAGTCTTACATAGTTTTTTCGATAAACGCTGAAGAACGTTAACAATCATACGCGTTGACGCTTTGCACTCCGATGTAATCGTGCAAAATACATGTAATATATATGCATTTATATATTATATACATATGATATTCTTGATTCATATAAAGTTACGCAGAAGTACAATGATCTTTATTTCAATTCAACTTTTGGCGTATTATAATAAAATATGTATATATTATAATAAAAACTATAGTATATGGTTATTACACATTGGTAGATATATTAGGAAAAGATATATATAGATATAGATATATTATAATTAAACTATAGTATATGGTTATTACATTGGTAGATATATTAGAAAAATATATAGATATAGATTATATAGATATAGATATATTATAATAAAAACTATAGTATATGGTTACTACATTGGTAGATATATTAGAAAAATGTATAAATATAGATTATATAGACATAGATATATTATAATAAAAACTATAGTATATGGTTATTACATTGGCAGTACAAAGGGTACAAAGTACATCGGAGCAGAAAGGGTTAATAAAATAACTTATCATGATACGGCAAATGATCGAGAAACTGCGATTATGTAAGGATCGGTACAACATCGCTCATCGCTACGGCGGAGGACGGCAGAAAGAGAAGGCGGGAAGAGTGTTGGAAGCGGGAGAAGGAGGCCGAGGAAAGGCGGCTCGGACAGCAGAAGAAAAAGAAGGACAAGGTGAACAAAATCGGAGAGAGGCGTGTGACGGGCAAGTGCGGGCGAAACGTAATAAATTCGTGGGACGAGACCGCTGAAAGGAATCGGCGCGGGACCGGGATCGAGGACCGCGATCCAGAAAAAGAAAAACACCGATAACGAAGCGGCGACGGCGGCAAGTAGGATCGCGGGAAAAGCGGAAGAAGCCGAGGAAACGCGACGAAATTGCCGGTTTCGACGGGTAGGATAAATCGAGGAGGACCGAAGAGGATGGAGGCGGAAGAAGAAAAAACGGCGGCAGGCGAAGATCGAGGGGGAAGAGGGGGCGAAGAAGAAGGGCGTTATCCGGGCGTGGATGCGGAGAAAAATGCGGACGGGTCGGTGCCGTAGAAAATCACATGCTCGCGGGAGGAAGGGGCAGGCGTGTTTCAGAAGAAGAAGAAGAAGAAGAACAGCGGTGTTTAAGCGGGTTTGAAGCGGAAGAGGCTGGCCGAAGCGCGCGGCGGCGGCGTTCGCACGGAGGCGAAGTCGCCGGATCCAGCGAGAAAAATCGAAGACAGCCGAAGTCGTCGGCCGAGCGAAGGTCCCGGCGAAATGTTGCGGCATTTAGGAGAACAACGGGCTGACCCGGAAGTCGAGGCGGATAAAAGGGACGCGGCGTCGGATCGACGAGGATCGGAGCGGATCGGATCGGAGCGCGTGCGGTCTTCGAGACGAGGAAGAAAAAGGGTCAAGGAGGCGGGCTGGTCGGAAAGGGAGAAACGGAACGATACTCTTTCCGAGGAAGGGAAGAGGAGGAAAGGAAGAAGAAAGGAATTGGCCGAAGAGACGAGGAGGATTGCTGGGGACAAGGAGGAAGAAGAAGAAGAAGAGGACGGTACCGGAGGACGAAGAGGAAGAAAAGAAGGGAGCCAAGGTAAAAGGGAGACGTGCGAGAGAGGAGGCGAGGGGACGAGGTCTGGGTTGGGTAAGGTGAGGGCTCCTACGGGTGAGTACCACTCACTTCATTGACTCGTGCGTACGCCCGCACGTCTGTCAGTCCATCCTCACTCACTCGATCCTCGCCTGGTCACGTAGCCGCTCCACCGTGCCCGGTCTTCGACTATCTTTCCTCCGATAATCGCCGTTGTCGCCGTTGCTGTTGCCGTTCTCGTTCTCGTTCTCGTTCTCGTTATCGTTATCGTGCTCGACCTCCGCGCGTCGAGGTCAAACCCGGGATCCGACATCGCGCACCGGACCGTCTTCGAATCTCGGTCTGCCGGTTCCGGGCCACCAGATCCAGCCGCGGTATCGTTCCGGCTCGAAACCACACCGGCTGGAACCAGCCTGAGGACCACCAGCTTCAGGATGACCAGCCTGGCCAGGATCCTTACGGTCATGTTGCTGTTGCTCCTGAATACGTCCGCCACCAGGGGCAAAAATCAGCAGATCAAGCCCGGTGAGTCTTTGCAGATCCTTTAATTGTAAGTCGTTTGACAAGTCCTCTTCGAGGATACTGATACGCGCATGTCGTTCATATTTAGCGGTTTCGTCGACCGGAAGTCTGTTAAGCGTGAGGCGCGAGGCTTCACGGTGATCGTTTTATTGATTCTTCGACGGTCTACTCTGTAATCTCGAGAATTTTATGAAATTCAAGGTACTCGTTTAGTGACATTGAAATTTATAATCTTCGAAGCTTCTGCGTGATTATTCATTTCTTTTCAATGCCGCGTGGCACGGTATATGAAATTTCAATCGAACTGCTTTTGTTTGAAATTTATTGAAATTGTGAAGACGCTCTCGCAGGAAATGATCGAATGAACTTCTCCATTCAAGCACATGCTATAATACAAATGACGATAGCTCTCAACAAATTCAGTCTTGTTATTCTTACAAAGTATACAAAAACACGCGCGCGTTAGTTATTTCTAGAACTTTGTAGATTTATTGTTAAAGCGATCGTGGCGAAATGATTGCAGCAAGTTCTGAGGTATATTGTAAAATGAAAACCGTATTGTTGGATAGACAATAATTGTTACTGGTAATAATTCGGTATGAAATAATAGTTCGAGTATTTCGTCCTCGAAGGGGTCGATGCACTTTACGCGACGTATAATAGTTATTATCGCGTGCACGGTGCAGGTTGTTAAATATTTTTGATTAATACGATCTCTCAGCGAGATTTGGTACGCTTGCGAGATAACGTTCGTTCGGGTACGATTGAAGGATATAAATGCAGAAAGGATTACGCTCCGTTTTAATTAGCATTTATTGTAACGATCGATACGTCTTATCGCGATCTCTGTCCAGAACGAGACAATGGCGATTTAAATCCGGCAACGTTAAAAAACGCAATATTCTCTGTTGCTTGTCGGTTTTTAATGTTGACATAAAAAAACGATTTCGATCTTGTGGGAACATTTCTTCGTATTTATGGGTTAATGAACACGTCCGCGGTGTTATGTTGTACGGAGTAAATGGGAACGTTATCCAAGCGGTTCTTGTTCAACTGGAAAAAGTGAGCTTGAGAAGAGCCGTCTTATTAACATTGTGCTCTTAATTTTTATCGACATAACTTTCTCATCGTTTCATATATGCGTAAAGAGTGACGGCACCCGAGTATCCTCGCGCGTTCATAATAATAGCATCGGATGGATCGGAACGATCCGTTTACGATTCCATGTTCCACAATTATTGAGATCACGTATTGTTATTAAATTCACGAGAAGCTAGAAGCCGGTAATTTGAATATTAACCCTTTGCAGTCGAAGCTATTTGAATTCGAAATCCAAAACATAATTTCTGATCTACAGTATTTCTATTTTATATAATTTATCGCGACTCATACGTATGAAATTGGGCCTATTGGCAAGTACAATGCAATTTTAATAGTCTTTTTTAAAGTATAAACGAGTTTGATGCTCTTCGAATGATTTTGAAAAATAGCATGTCAATTTTTAGTGGCGCCTCAGAGTCGCCATTCGAGTGCAAAGGGTTAACCATCTCATACTGTATAGTATACAAAATTGGGAAACTAATCGCGTCTACACATCGAAACCGAAAATACAGTAATGTCTCCCTTACTGACGCTCAGATTGTCCACAAAAATGGACAATTTCGGAAGAAGAGCTACGATTATTCGAGCCTCGCATTTATAGTTGCCGATCGTCAACATTCATAAAAACGAGCCGCAAAGCCTCGAATAATCGTATCCCCTATTCCCAAATTGTCTACTTTTCCGCGCAATTTGGACGACAATTAGGGAGACATTACCGTATGCCTGAGAACGACGGGCCAGCAGCGAGGCGATCGACGAACGGAATCCTGCGATCGCGACAGCGAGAGAGTACCGTGCAACACTTTCTTCTATTGCACCGGATTCCTACATTTCATCGCGATGTACCGCACCGTTACCAATGCGACTATCTCCAATTTCTAATCACCGTGACGGCAACATCATCGTTCGAGCGTTTCGGTCGCAGCACGATTTCCACTTCCGTTCGGCGCCGCGCGTCACCATTGTCTGGCCCCGTCGACCGTTTTCCGCGTGCGGAGCGATGCATTAGGAAAAAAGGGGGATCGGTCGCTGTCACAGTTCTCCGGCTCATTACGGTTCCCCGGCTTATCGGCGGCCGATCTCTGGCCGACGAAAAACCATTGTCGGCCGATCGACGGACTTCCGAAGAAAGTCTGCATCGGCGGTTGTCAGAAACTCGTGCCATTCTCCCACGTGATCCCGTGGGACCGTTCGGTGAGGGGGGAGGGGACCCCATTGTCTTCCGCGAGGATCGCAGGATCCATGGATCAAGCGTTGCGCAATCAACCTGCGGATTCGGGGAGGTGAACGCACCGAGCACATCGGCGTCCATCAACCGATGCTAGCGTAGTCGATCGGAGGGAAGCTTGTTCCGTGATCGATCATCGACTCTGACAGGATTTTCGGTCTCGATCGTAATCTCCGCCGGCGGGGACCGTTGTCCCATGCAAATTTATCGCTCGGACACTTCGTTTTCCTTTTTCCCCGTTGCCGTCGTTTAGCAATTTGCTTTCGGCGAGTTTTGTGACAGCTTGTCGGTTTCAATTTGGCAATTGTTGGCCGATGGAAAGATACGCGGCCTCGGCGTATTTCCGTCGCGGTGTTTGGGGATCGTTTTTTCGGACAGCGATACGACGTCCGCGCATTTTTTCGTTTACAATCACAGCCGACAGAGAAGCAGCCGCGACTTGTCCGCGATTGTCGCACGGACGGATAATCATTTCGAACGGATGGCTGGTTAAAAATGATTCAGATTTTAACCGCGGCTGACAAATGAACGTTTCGGTGTCGCGGCAACGATTCGCGTCGGTTCACGATATTTGCCGAGATAACGTCGATGGTGAAATAATAGCTGACCGTAAATCCGTGCTCGAACGGTACTGGAAAGACCGGACAAAAAATTACCGGAATATACCGGTGTTTTTACATTTCGTTCGGAGCCGCGCCGGGGATTAACTATAAAATCGCGCGACCGCGGACGGTAGCGAAATTCGGTCGCTCCGAAGCGTTCGTCGCAGCCGGAGCCCCCGAATCGCAGATTATTCGAAAGACGGCTGTCTGCCCCGTAGTTTCGATTCCCGTTTAACGATCTGTCTGGCCGCGCCGGCGGCGGGATCGTCATTTAAGCGTTGAACTAAGGACGCCGGCGCCGTGTGCAGTTAAGTACTCGGAGCGTCCAAGAATAGTTGGCGCGACGGTAGGGCCAAGTGCTTAGGAGTTTACGTACAATGGTACGGTGCGCGCTTTTGCTGTTACGGCCGTGGTAAATGTCTAAGAACTTCAGCTGTTTCGGTTAAAGCGCGTTTATCCCTCTCTCGCTCTGCCATCGGGGAATTATTGTCTCGTCTCGGTTCGCCTAATCGAGGCTGCTCAGCCGTTCAAATACTTCGCTGCGGTCTAAGACTCCCGCCGGCTTTCCGGTGTCTGTCAAAAAGCGACGCGAAGGACAGCCGGAGCTTAGGAAAGCTTTCGAAGCTACCGACACCCCGGAGCACCTTCGGGATGTTTCGGGGTCGCCGACGGGATCGAACGGGATTAAAAACCGGCTAATGAAGCGGTATTTCGGAGCGGCTTCGGAGCCGGGCGAACAGCTTTCTCAGGCTACGCGGGATCGATAATGAAGAAAAGCGTCCACGAAACCCACTGACTTTGCGTTTTACGGAGTCGTTAGGCGATGTAAGCTTCAGATCTATGGGTCCGGCAAGTTTTTCCGCGGGAACGGGCCAATCTGTGGGCACTATCAATTTTCGTGGAATTTATACTGATCTCTTGAGGGATGATCGTGGCAGCCGCCTTATCTAGAGCGAACAAAAAAAACCATCGCTTCAGCAGGTCCGCAGAGCGTGCGGCTCACTCCTAAAGAATCGGCGATTATGAAGTTTTTCTGATCCTCCGCGATCTCGAATTAAAACTGTTACTACGTATAAGACGTTCGTTCGGCTTCGTTAAAGCAGCTCGAAGGCAATCTAAGAAGTTTTCTTGCACCGTGTCCCGGATGCGTATAAGAACTTCAACAAGAATTGATCTCCAATCATATCTTCATCAGGATCAGCTTCCTGCCCTTGTATTTTCAAATAGAAATCCTCGACGTCGCTTTTCGCACGCTGAAAGCACATTTAAGCTCTGGAAATCGTTTTCGTGTTCAACAATCTTTCCATCGATAAACCTTCGAGATAATCTGCGAATCTTTCGTTTAATGTTTCGAATGTGCGACACCGTATCGCAAAAATTCCTTGCAATTAAAGTAGTTTATTTAATCAAATTAATTAGTACTTCATTCCGTGAAAATATAAAGGTTGTTCCAGTTTGTATCGCAGAACTTTATCGGTATATTTTATAAGTGAGAATAAGAAATAATATTATATGAACGCGGATTTTGAAATGTTTTGTCGAAAAGTTACGACAAAGATCCAAAATAATAACGGACTGCTCTCTCGATTGTTACAACTTCATTTCAAAATGTCGTCTGTTATTATTTTTTATTACCAGACCACGGATTTTGTGCACTTATGGCAAAATTGGGCAGTTATAATTTAAAATATAATAGTAGAAAGAAGGAATTTTAAAGTAAAGGGATTTTAAAATGTCAATTACTTTTAATTTATTGAAACGATTGAAGGAAGGATGACCTCGATATTTAGTCTCTATTTCTCGCTATTGATGCAGACAATTTTTATTTTGCATAAAAATCCGCGGTCTAGTTATTACGAATGCGCAATTAGCAACAAGTAAACATTAAAGTCATAGAAAGAGGGTACTGTTCAGATTAGATTGCAACAGAATCAATTTCGATTTGAACGAAATAAATTCCGATTGGAACAAAATAAATTTTCGCAGATGAACAAGCGGTCCGTGTTCTATTTAGAAATTCTCGGTACTTTTCTTATGGAACGTGTACAAAAATGCTTAGCGTACCGAAATAA